TAAAAGTCTAAATTGAAGGCGTATTTCTTGACCATGGCTCTGGCTTAGAAGAGTAACCAGTGATGCAGAGGACATGCCAGGATTGAACAGAAACAGCTTTATTAACTGAAATGAAAGCTCTATTTAATATGAATTGCACTGGGATTAGTGTCACAGAGTCTGGTAAAAGTTTTACCATGTACAGTATATCATCGCTGTCCCCTCCCAAAAAAAAGTAACTTTACAGGAGAAGGCAAAAACTTTTAATGTACTATTGTGTAAAAATATTACAAGTGATTTTGGGGCATTTCTATTGGTCCAATCATCATGACAGTAAAAGGCAGCTGCTGTTGAAATGATGTAGAAAAAAATGAAAATGTTAATTAATATATTGTACAGTATAGTACAGATGACGTTTTGTTGTTTTGTGAAAGTAAGTAAACACATCCTCTACAGAGAATAAACCTATATATGACATTTTTCAGCAAATTTTAGTTTTGTTTATTTGCTGAATTCAACATATCAGAGAAAATAAGGTATACAATGTGCCATAGCCTTTTTAGCAAATAAACAGTAACTGTGCAGAAGAAATTATGCATCTGACTGTATAGTTATTAGGATATTGAGAATATTAGGCCAGCCTAAATGAGTTACTCCTACCTACGCCTAGTTCTCCATGAGACTGCTCTATTTTCCATAGCGTCTGAATTTAATTCAGTTGTATATTTGATAATAGCTCCTCGATGGCCATGCGTGCGCTGACAGTAGCTGGCAGGCAGAGGCGCACGGCGTGCAGCGTGCAGAGATGGATGGATGTAATGGAGCAGCTTTACTCTGACTCTCTGCTCTTCTGCTCCTTGCCACTGTAATTCTGCACTAGGTTTAATGTCAGTGCATGAACCTGCCAGTTGATATAAGCCATTCAGCCAAGCCATGAATTAAAACATGAGGTTTCACTTTGAAACATCAAACACATTCCACTCTACTAAATGAGCTGACTCATTTTCATTCCACATTTTTAATTTTTTTTTTTCCTTACGGATTTGTCCGTGTTGTATAGCCATTACCCTGGCAGGAGCTGGACTCACTATCATTGACTTTGAGCATAGTGTGTTTAAAGGTGAAAGTGTCCATGGCTATAATGTGAATTATGTAGTTAAGTATATCTGTACATCTCTCTTCTGTTCGCTCCAGTACATTTGAATCTGTTCGCCACAGTAACCTGCACTTTCCAACCATTTAATCTGCGATTGGCTGAGAAGCAGATGTTGAAGAGCGGTCTTGTACTACCACTTAAGTTAATAAAATTTGAATAGCAGAATAGAGTGTGCGTTTGGCAGGCGGTGCGGTGTGGTGTGTACTGAGGTGTACTGATGCTGTGACATACTAGAATTACTGTGTAGGATAGTCAGAGAGAGGTGACAGGGCAGACAGAGCAGTGGTTCGGCTCAGCTGCCTGTCAGCTGTCCACTGCTTCACACTACCTTTTCTGCTGCAACGCTGAGCTCCTGTCAATCACACAAATGAGCACTGCACCTGTGGATTTATTTAACATTTTTTTCTATTTATTATTTATGATGTGATTCTGTCAACAATTCTGTTGCAGTATGAAGGTTAATCATCACCAGGAGCTTGCAGAGTTGGGGTATGTGTGTTCTCCATCTCATTGATAATTTTCCTATTCTTTCTTACAAAAAGTATCAGTCTGCTAATATTGATTTCTATTGTATTGCCGATAAACAATATACAAATTGTTTCTAAAGAGTTTCTAAAACTAGAGAAGTTCTCACTATCCAAACACAAGAAACTTGGATAGTGAGAAGCAGAAAATGCAACCAACCTCTAAGACTAAACATTTGAGGTGTGTAAGAATATCCCTGCAACTTTCTTTGAAAAACTGAAAGCAAGTCTCCCGGAAAGAAAGGGATCTGACCTAAAGGTAAAAAAAAAATACTGGGAATTTTTCCCCATTATATTTAGTTGTTGAGGCCTCTGTGTAATCTCCTGTTAAAATGTTTTTTGCTGACATGAATGAATCTTTTTGATTGGAAATTAAATAAATAAAGGTCTCTTGAATTTTGGAGAGTACTTCATGGTTTCATGCCCTTTCATTTGGTGTGTCCTGTGGGGCATGGAATTTCCTGAAATTCTTTCTCTTCTAGGGCCACCATGCTCTCCATCTCTCCTTCTTTCATCTTTCTCTCTAACGTAGCCACAGCCTGAAAAGAATACATTCCTTAAGCTAAATTCTAAAAAAAAAAAAAATTAATGCTGGGTGCTTTGATGAAATTCCCAAAGAGAGGATAGACTGAACCACTGCATTCAATTAAGAGAGGGGGAAAGTATGCATAATAGGACATAAAAAATTGTCCTTTGGTAATTAGCAGTAGGTAATGAAAAAAACGTGGAGAAAGTGGAGATTTGATGCGAGATGGAGATTTGCCAAGTTGATCACTGCTGGAGAGTAAACAGGATGATCCTGACCAGCACAGCACAGATCCTGCTGCAGTCAATTCCTGAATCTATGCATGTGCTCAAAGTGTTTTGGTTTGAATACACCCCTGGCTTATGCCAGCTTTAAACAAAATCCATACTGTGCTTATCTGTGATGGACAGTGGCTATCTGCTGCTGTTTCTTGTTGCAGCACGAGGCATTTGCCCTTTAGAAGTCTTTATCTGCTTTTACTGACAAAACTTTCTCCCTGTCTGTCTGATAAACAGGCTCTGATTGTAAAAAGTCTATAGGTCTTCTGTTGCTGTTATCTCCATACCATCATTCGTCTGTGTGTGTGTGTGTATGTACTCGCCTACAGACAAGTCCGGCCACAAATCACGTAAGCTGGCCTGCAGGTGATCTTATCTGGTTGCTTTCTGGAAGTTTCTTTTAAGTATAATGTGCTGGTGTTGGGTGGCTGCTCTCTTGCCTTGCCTTGACTATGAGAATGCAGCAGGCCTTGTAGCACAGAGTGTGATGTTATCACATTTCCTTCCTTATAACCCCACCTCCACTACCACCACCACCACACGCACACTCTCAATCAATTCTCCTATACCCCCTAGGCACCCTCAAGCTGAGTCCTCGCAGGGATTTACATCTTCCCCTCAGAGCAGATTGAGAGATTTCAGCAACTTTATATATTTATGCAATTTTCATTTTCTGTTTGCACCTGTTAGCGTGTGCGCTGGCAAGGGAATATCATTGCTTTGCTTCTTTGCACAGCAGATGGTCAGCAGTGTTTTGTGCCTATTTTGGCGCTTAATAAAGTTGAGGTTTATACGCAATATAATTCAAAGCTAATGGTGTACAAAGCTGTAAAGGAACACTGTAAAAGTAGATTTGTAGCAGTTTAAGGCTGAGTCTTTACGAGGGAGATTAATATTCTAATCTTCTGCCGACTGTTTGCTGTTTTTGTGCAAAATGAGTCACTGACGTCTGTGTGTGGAGAAGCACAGTGGAAAAAGGCTCTGCATAACCTGGTCTTGAACTCCTGCTTTCCTTTGTGCAGCCGCCTCCTTTTGAAAAGCTGTCTGAATGGAAATGACACTGTGGGCACCTATTCCCCTAATCTTTGTGAGGGAGGAGTTGAAGCAGGGAGATGGTGTGAAATTTTAATGGCCTTCGGTATACTGTTCATCAGAGTTTGATTAGCCGTCCATGAAACATGATGAATATGTGGATATGGTGCATAGCGATACCCATGCTATGTCTGTCTAGTCAATAACAGCACAACCAACCATCATGGGAATCATGTAAGGAAAATGTGGGGCTGTAGAAATGCAAAGCTGAATATTTGACTACTTAGGGTTAAAAAACAAAACACTTTGATAAGGTTGTTTACTCCCGCTTGGGCTCCTACTTACCAGCACAGCCATGCACATACAGACACAATATTCTCAGCTCTACTGAGCGGCTTGCCTGATAGCATTATTTAATTCATTGCTGGCACAAACACTTTGTCACTGTCAGCATTGTTTAAAGCAGATGGGCTCCAAGGCTGCGGTAGCTTACTTAAGTAACCTTTGTATTCTCTCTCTTTTATGAACTGTCATAACCTTTTACTGTCTCAGAGCACGCTTCAAAGTTTAGATTGGGAATTTTAAATATGACAGAGTCCCTGTGGGTTGACTGAGACAGATAACATTTGAAACACTGCTAATGTAACAAAACCGAGAGTGCCAAATCAGTACAGGCAGTGCTGGCGGAATCAAAGCACACAGAGCTATGGCAACAGACTTTCAGGACCATGGACAGAGAATTATATGCTTGCATAGTGTTCTGAAGGATGTTTTCCCTTTGGAATCTTATTCGGAAACATTTTATTGGATGAGTCTTTGGTTCAGTGCCAGGTCAGATTAACATGGTTTAACTTACAACATCGATTGTGTTGAGTTCAGTATGCTACATGCCTAAAATTATGTGGACAACCAAACAACACAACCAGCCACAAGAGCAGTATTGAGGTGGTGCACTGAAGTTTGACGATAATGCCTGGCTTATTTTTAGCATTCCAGTTAATCCCAAAAGTGTTTTTGGTGGGGTTAAGGTCAGGACTCTGTGCAGGCCAGTCAAGTTCCTCCACACAAAACTTGACAAACCATTTCTTTGTAGATCTTAGATGACATTGTCAGGCTGAAACAGAGAAATGGCCTTCCCCAAATGGCAGCCCTATACTGTGCGACAGATTATGTGGCTTGAGCTGGAGCTCCTGGATGTTTCAACTTCACTATAACAGCACTTACAGTTGACCAGGGCAGCTCTAGCAGGGCAGAAATTTGAAAGCCAATGAGCTCTTCAGTACAACACATTCTGCTGCTAGTGATTGCTTGGCTGTATGCTTGGTTTTATGCACCTGTTGGCAACAGATGTGTCTGAAATGATCAGACTCACTAATTAGAAGGAATGTCCACATACATTTGGCTACATAGTATATGTGCAGCGTAATTATTGTGGGGTTTTTTTATTATTTGACTATAAATTAATTGAAAGTGTTTTTGCTGATTGATTTATGTCTTTTTTTCAGATTCTGTTTGTCTCCCCATGAGAAGCTGGTTAATAAATGGTAAGTAAATGTAGCATTTTAGAGAAAACAGTGTATTTTGAAAATGTTATTTCAAATAATTAATGAATCAATGCATATATTTGTGATTTTTTTTATAACTGCCTTGTGTTTTAACTCAATATAAAGTTACTGAATGTGTATTTTTTTAATATATTTTTGTTGAAATGCTGATTCTGTTTACTAGTGACACCTTTTAACTTTTACATGTTAAATGAGGCCACACCTGCAATTCCTCCCTCTCATAACTACATCTCACATATCTTGTGTATCTACATATCTTATATAACTTAAGCATTAATGTAAGAGTAGTTACAGAACAGGTTGTAGTTGTTACTGAATACTATGTTTTATACTGAAACTGATTAATAAGCCTGGAGTTAAGGGGTTAATTGAGATTGAGATTAACCAGATTAAGTAAAAAGAAATGTTCCTAAACTGAAATTACGCAAACAAAATAGCCTTTTGCCTTATGGTTAGATTTCATAAGTTCTTTGTGCTGAACCCCTGTATGCTTCAATTCCTCTGGCGTGTTGATGTGGTTATTCACCCCACTGGGAGGAGATTGAGCCAGTAAACTGGCTGCTGTGCAGTTACAGCACCCTTATCAAAAACACCACAGTATCAAGCCCCAAGTTCTCATAGTAGTCGAGACACACTCGTTTCCATATGAGCTCCTACACTGCTGAATACTAAATCAAAATGCATCCAGATTTCTCACTCATATTCTTCGGCAAGGCTTAGTTATATCAGAATTCTAATACCCCAGATATAGCCTTGAGATAATACCCAGATATACTGTTCCCCAGAACAGCACTGGATTTTAGTGTATTATTTGGATAAGGAAGGCAAATATTTCAAACATCCAATCATTCTAGCTTTGTTTTCTTGTAAAAGAGAACTAAAATGTAATGTTTTAATTGTAAAGAACATTTTGACCCCATCTACATGGGCTTGTTTCATGTGACTTATGTTTAACCACATGCATTTACACTCAGTAATCGGTCATCTTCAGTTAGTCAGATTAAAATCCAATTGCTGTGTAGCACATAATATGCAAATCAGCTCATATGAAACAACCAGTTGCCTGTGGTCCTTGATTTTCTTGTTCTATTTAAAAGATGGTTAACGCTTCCTTAGACTGACTTTACACCAATGTATACAAGAAGACAGCTGTTTAGAATGATTAGTCTCATGTATTAGTCGCTGTGATCATGGACCACGTGTTAAAATGTAGTAAAGTGTATTAGCGAGACAGCGAATCATGATGAGGCGTTTTATTTTAACTAGCTCAAGCTGCTGAAGGCTACTGAATTAAACTTGGAGGAGAAACATGTTGAAACTGTAGGAGCAGTCATTCCTCTGTTTAGTGGTGGCAGTTCTGTGACTGATGCCCACCCCCATGACATAAAAACATGACTAATAGAAATCATCTATAACTACTTGGAATAAAATCTCTTCACATTAACTTACTGAAAGGGGCGAGGGGGGGTATAGCAATGATTGCAGACCAGCAGAGAGAGGCGCTGCTATAGTATTAGGAGGGTTTTGGTTGTATAATGTGGCTTGGAAAGACGAATGCATGTACACTTGTATAACATTTAGCTAAAATGTGTCTCAGACCACCTCCTGTGGCATCTTGTGGACTATGTGGATAATCTCTATCCGAATATAATCCTGATATTCAAGATGCATTAAGTGACAGGAGTAAACAGGATCTTTGATTTGCTGGCATGGAATGGTAATTTCTTTGACACCTAAGTAAAATGCTATAACAACTGTACGAGTAACACCTGCATTACGCAGGTGTAGACAGGTACAAGCCATAAGATGCATGTCTACAATTTCATGTTGTACTCAATATGTGCTGTATGTTAAAAAAAATAAATAAATAAATTGTGCATGGTGACAAATTTGCACTGTACCAACACCATACACCATATACACGACAGACCTCTGAGGACCTTCCTCCTATGTTAACAGTGTTAATGGCTTCTGGCTGCATTGTGTATGACTATGCTTTAAAAAATTAATAGTTCAGTGGTTTTGAAACCAGGACTCAAGGTCTGTCATCCAGGCCACATTTCGCTCTGTACCATCTCTCGACACACATACACCAGGTAATCAAATCTTGATGAGGTGGTTCAGGAGGATTGGGAGCTGGACTATATTTAAAAAGATGGACTAAATGGCTCCCTGACGGCTGGGTTGAGATCCAGAGTTTAAAGCATATGCATGCTGTTTCTTGTTTTCCAGACTTCAATGGAACTTGTGGAGGAGTCTCAGGAGGAAAGTGTGGAGCCCTACAACAATTTCTTGCCGTTTCTGCGTGAAGAGGGAATAGCTGAGTTTTTCTCTAAAGCCATCCATTTCTGACAATTAATGTCAAGCGGCACACAGATGCAGCCTTGTGCTGCTTTGCCTGAAGCACCGTCACTAATGGCTGGTTTGCCACTTGAGTTTTACCTACCTAAACACGCATAAATGCTTCAGAATGCCTTCAAAAGTGTCATGCCTTTACGTGTTGACAGTTGTTTGCTGGGCGAGCGCCCTCTGGTATCTCAGCATATCCAGACCCACAACGTCATATGTGGGCCAGCTGTCTGCTCCTGCACGGAAGACCATGAAAGTCCACAAAGCCAACACCACCACCTTTAGCAACATCAGAACACGGCCGTTAAACCCCCACGGGTTTGATTTCATCATTAACGAGCCGAAGAAGTGTGAGACCAATGTGCCGTTCCTAGTGATTCTTATCAGCACAACGCACAAGGAGTTTGACGCTCGCCAGGCGATTCGAGAGACATGGGGTGACGAGAGCACGTTCAGTGACCTTCGCATCATCACTCTCTTCCTCCTCGGCCGCAGCACCGATAGCGTCCTCAATCAGATGGTGGAGCAAGAAAGTCAGATCTTCCACGACATCGTAGTGGAGGACTTTGTGGACTCGTACCATAACCTGACCCTCAAAACCCTGATGGGGATGCGATGGGTGGCCACCTTCTGCAACCAGGCCAAGTATGTGATGAAGACGGACAGCGATATTTTCGTAAACATGGACAACCTGGTGTACAAATTACTAAAACCCACCACCAAGCCCAGGAGGAGGTATTTCACAGGCTATGTCATAAACGGCTCACCTATTCGGGACATGCGCAGTAAGTGGTATATGCCCAGGGACCTGTACCCAGAGAGCAAGTACCCGCCATTCTGCTCTGGCACAGGCTATGTGTTCTCAGCAGATGTGGCCGACTTGATCTATAAGACTTCCCTCCACACCCGCCTGCTGCATTTGGAGGATGTTTACGTAGGGGTTTGTCTGAGGAAACTTGGCATTCACCCATATCAGAACAGTGGCTTCAATCATTGGAAAATGGCCTACAGCCTCTGTAGATACCGTAGAGTCATCACCGTGCACCAGATCTCCCCTGAGGAGATGCATCGGATCTGGAACGACATGTCCAGCAAGAAACATCTCAAGTGTTAGTAATGCCTGAGAACTGCAATGTATATGTGCCCATTTTTATACATATAGGATGTAAAGGACACAACATGCAGCAGCATAACATGGAGAGCACATGCAGTCGTCTCTTTAAGCCCCGAAAACAGCCTGTGACGTTTAGTCGAGTGAAAATGTTCATGTTTTTATTAGCCCCCTTGAGCCTTTGCTTGGAGTGAAGAATATCCAACTGCTGGCATGCAAATGCGAGGTGCGCTGAAAAGTATACTGCGAGTGTGAGTGTTTTTGCCATGCCAGTCTAATTGCATCAAGTGAAGGTGCACCATGCTGTTTTAGAATACCTTAAAGGCTAATTCATGCATAAACAGTTTTTTACACTGTAGAAATTTGGCTCAGCTGCTCAGCAAAGGTGCACTCTGAGTTGGATGAGGCCAAACATGAATGTCCTTGACAATTTTTCTTTTCATTGCACATAACTCTGTTGGATGTAATTATACAGAAGCGTTGATGGTGATCAGCACCAATGATGGCAGTGTTAATATATTGTTGAAAATATTCCAACAGATGCTTTTGTTTCAAGTGGAAGCGCCTGAGTTCTATTTGTTTACATGTTGTGTAAGCTTCCTTTCTGTTGAAAAAAATATTACAGATATGAATATGTATAACTCTTTATTTATAACAACTATGACAAAATTATTTTCTTACTTCCTGTATCCGATGGTTAACTTACTTCAGATCTAGCTGGCTCATATTTGTATTACTATTGCATATGCATATTATATATTGATTACTTACCACATAGTAAAAAGTATCATATAGTGTGTATTTACTGTATTTGGTAAACGGCACTGTAAAGGCATTCCTTAAAGGAATGTATCATCATCTGTATGTTACATATCAATCTATAAGAAGCACTTCAACAAAATGACTGGACATTATATTTTCTAGAACTTGTGGAGGCCAAAATTTAATTTTCATGTGTTTATTTTTTTATTCACTCATACTATTAAGCAATTTGTGGCATTTAACTGTGAAAAGCATAGATAATGGGGAAACTGTCCCAATGGGAGGTTGTTGTATTGTTGTACTATACTGTGGATTTTTTTAACATAAAAGTACTCGAGCATATTGCTGCTTCTTTGAAGTGTTTATCTTTTTAATTATATTTTCGTTCATTTACATTTAAGACCTAAGGACCTAATGGGATTTACATGCATTTTGATTGCGTGAAAATGTGTTTCTCTGTTTACCTTTTATTATTGCTCCCTTTATGGGCTTCTTGTTCAAAATGAACACAACTTTTGCTCTCTGCAATTTGTGTCACTTCTTAGTATGATACAGCCTCAGAGTTTTCCTTGCTTCAAATTAACTTTTGGTAATCCAAAAATATAGATCCAAAGGAATTAAGCTCTGGAATTAGTTGCATCTTATACTTGGTTACGTCTCCTTGCCTTAAAAACAACATGGGTCCTTTCAGGTGAGCTTTACGCCATTGTATTGAGATAGTTCTTGTCCATTTTAGCCCACTTCTGCCAAACTGGGTGCACATTTTAGATGTCACATTTTCAGGGCTTGTGCCTATTTCAGCCTTTTACCTGCTGTTCTAAACTGAGAACTAAGATTGAGGTCTGGTGATTTTGCAGGTCAGTAAAACTGTCAGTGTTGCAATATGACTGGTAAACCACTCACAAACAGACAGCTGTCAGCCTGGAATGTGGGAGTGTCAATGTTGTGTTGTGTTCCAACATGAAGCACAAAGTTAGTGGAGGAGTGGAGTTAAATGGACAGAAATCTCATAAGCCTCATGATATCTTTACCTGACAGGACTGGAGCTGTTAAGGTGAGAGGATACTTAACCAAGCATTAGAGAAGAAATGATGCATGCAGCTATTTTTTTGTCCGGGGGAGCTTATTTAGATAATGACTTACTCAGAAATCACACAAACACATTCCCTCTAAGCAGTTGTCTGATTCAAGCTACAGCAAGAAGTGCAGCATTTCTACAAATGCCCTCCAATGTAGAAGGAAAAGTGGTACAGAAACGGCCCTTTTAAAAGCTGATGGTGGTATTCTCCTAAAATAATTTGAAGGCAAGAGTAAAAGCACACCTCTCCAATTCACCTTATGTCCACCCTCAGGGATTCACCAGCCACTAACCTTGCCAAGTAGTGTCATTTGGCAGACATATAGCAATCAGAAGTTGTGCCAGATACTGCCACTGCCAAATTCTATCACCACCAGTGACAAATTGGTTCAGTCTTTGGTATTGTCAGCTCATGGCATTCTGTGCAGTGATGGAGGCTGTTTTGAAATGCAGGATGTCTTTTACAGGATTATGGGTGGAGTTGTCAAAGCACCATCAATAACAAGAATCAGTGATATTTTCCTTCTAAGAAGGAAAGGACTATAACAATCAAAGCATAAGAAAGACTGTACATGCTGTGGCTACATGCCAGCATTCAGACTGGCATGCAGTCACGAGCTGTTTGTATATGATATTAACTTTAACAGTGTGTAGGTAGGCACTTTAAATGGTGCTGACCTATGACCCTGTGAACAAACACTACAGCTTTAATGAGAAGTAGCAGGAAAACTCTCAAAATAGGTCATCATGTGATAATGGTGCTACATCTAGAAATAAACAAGTCATTGGTCTCTCCCAAACTCTGCCACAGTTGTTGAGAATCAAAGCTAAACCATAGAGTTTAGAATTGCATGAGCTGGATCATTCATTCTTCACAGTGTGGTCAACTGTGATATCCAAGAAAATATACACAGGCATTTTCATTGCATATGAATTCACCAAACAGCTTGGCTGGCCAGGACATCTGAAAAGCTTCTTTAGAAAGAACAGGAATGATGCTGACAAATGTGTGTTGGTGAGTATCGTTTAATGTTGGAACTGATTTGTAATTTAATTTCTAATGGAGAAGGAAGACTGTAATTTATAAGTGTCTTTGGGAAAAGGCACAATGACAATGATACTGAATTCCAGCACCCGGCCATCCAGTCTGTTAATAATAGCAGTTCTTTATTGGTTGCTGTTTTTTTGAAGTTGCTGATCTTGCTGATTACAGAAAAGGAACAAGAGTAATAATATGCAGAAATGGTACCCACACTTCATGTATAAAACACAGCTTCATAAAATACTTCAAGCTAGTACTATTTTCAACCTCAGTTTGAAAACAGAGTGATTTGGAACTAGTGTATGTATTTTTGGATTCATGACTCATCTTTGTCTTTTGGTTTTGAACATTTGTTTGTTTTAAAGTAAATCAGAGACAGATGTAGAAATTAAAAATGATCATGCTGGGTAGTGCAGTGGAATGACAGGACTGCTTTTTTTATAATCAGCAGCTGGGTTTTTCTCCACCTTTTATGGTGTGTTATGGATCTATAGTTTTTGTTACACAACAAAGCCTTATAGGTTAAATCTGGATGATTCTCCAAGGGCAAAGCGCTAGAAACACAGGCGCATGTACATTGCACTGCCCAAAGTCAAAGTGCATTACAGCTTTGTAATTTTCACCATTAGCCATTAACCAGAGAAAATACTATTAAATGAAGGTATCGACTGAAAAGCAATTCTGCTTAATGCTGCTTTAACAACAATAAAGCAGTCTCTGCTTTATACGGCTTCGGCTTGTTACCTATGTTCTTAGGCACGGATTAATGAACAAGGCACCTCTAGCATTTAAGCGTCAACACTGTCCCGAAAAATTAAGCAGTACATTTGCACATGGCAGCATTCAGGTCTCGCCTCATACTTCCAGTGGAACAAACAAAAAAAAAAATCCATTAATTCTTATTGGATTACATACTTCTTATATGTACAGTACAGTTCATTTGTATTAAAACAACATTCATTATGGAATAATGAAAATGTGCTTTTTCCCCATAAATAAGACATCTTACATTTGGAAGGAGGAATTCTATTAATAGAATTAACACAATCTTTAGGTTTCATGGTATTAATGTGCGCACCAAAAAAGCTAATCTTTCAACACGAAGACCAGAGAAAAGGAAATAAAAGGCATTCTCTTTTTCAATAAATAATAATAATAATAATAATAATAATAATAATAATAGTTTTGCTGAAAGCATAGGTAACACAACAACAATAATAATAATGATGATAGAAATTCTAATTCTCTTTTTTTTTTTTTTATCACTAGCTATTGCCACCTGAGAGCATCAAGAGTTAGCAGGGCTGAGTTCTGCTCTGTACTTGGGGAAGTGGGTGATGGAATGTTGTTGAGAGGCATTGCGGGGACAGCATTTAGGCCGGGGGAGGCTTAGGGAAGTGCATGTGTGCGCGCTGAGGGGAGGTTGTATGTCTGGGATATTGAGCGATGCTAACTTTATTGAGAAGGGTAGAAGGTGGTTGTGAGGAGGAAAGAGGTGAGTGAGAGGATATGGAGTTGTGAGCGTGTAGGAGTAGCATGGAGGTTGGTACTAAACCCAGTCTACTCTTCCTGTGGCATTCAGTCTCTTCATACAGGGCCTCCTCCCTCCTCCTCTCCTCTTCCTCCTCATCAGTCACAGACAGGCCATCAGGTAACACTCAACTGGGCAAAGCCAATCAGCTTCACCTCATCTGGAATCTCTGTGCTGTCGCAGCCGGATGCCTGGACACACACAAATAAAGCAATTAATAAAAACATTCCACCAGCAACATCAATTCTCCAGGCAGTGAAATATATACAGTTTGTTATTATTTAGTAATGTAAGTTTTTGCAGCTAGTGATTTTTTAATCTTAGATTTCTCTAAAGTAAGGCTGTCAAGATCACTTGATCTCACTTGAATCTTAATTAGAAATATATATTGATTAAAATCCTTCAAAGGGCTTCCTAGGCTGCTGTTGTAGTAGTGCCTATGCACTGATCTGTTTAGTTACAGTACTATGCTAAAGTCAAGAGACAATCCAGCTTTTTTTTTTATCTCGAGTAGTATTTACTGATTTTTCTGAAGAGACTAGATACAGGAAAATGCAGGAAGAGTCAAATGAAAATAACTGGAAAACACAGTTTCTCAAACTGGAGTTTAGAAAGTTATTAGAGTAAATGGGACTCCAAACAACCCTGCAAAGACCTAGTTGATCACCAAAACTGTCACAATCAGATAAACTGTACTGAAAATAGTCTCAAAGTCACATCTTTGGGAAATTAAGCTCCACTCTTGCTTCACATCTGAAAAAACCCACAGGTGTTTCTGTCTATCCTTCCACTGTGAGAAGACAACTCAGCGCTATGAGTCTGAAAGGATGTGTAGCTGTCAAGAAGCCCTTACTGAGAAAAGGAAATAGCTTCTGGTGTTCTCAGAACAATGGACTGACCACCCCAGAGTCTAGACCTCAACATCATTGTTATTTGCATCATGAGAATCAGAAAATGCAACCAACTTCTAAGACTGAACTTTAGAGGTGTAGAAAAAAATATCCCTGCAGATTTCTTAAAAACGGAAAGCAAGTCTCCTGAAAAGAATGAAAGCTGTAATAAATACACACAATAGTGAAAACTGACCTTATATTTAGTTGCTGAGGTGTAATTTTCTGTTAACTATAAGTTTCTGCTGATGCTGACAAATGAATAGCTTAAATGTTGTTTTAACTGGAAATTAAACAAATAAAGGGTGATCTCTGACTTTTGCACCATACTAAATATCCATTTTTATTGTCTGACATTATGATGACTTGATTAATCATCAACTGAATTACTTGATTGCGATAATAATCACTAGTGAAAGCCCTACTTTAAAGTGGTGGACAAATAATAGCATAACTCCACGGCCTAAAGAGCAAAGTGCAACACAGATGTCTTGGTATCCTCGAAGAACGTTAACCGTTAAGTTGTGGCGAATTGTTTTATAGGTCTGACTGTATTACACTGCACATTCACTAAATGCTCAAGTGCACTGAGGTGTGGTAGAAATGTAGGATATGGTGTGAATGAATCTGTGTGTATGTCTATGTATGTCTCTGCTGAGACATGCTAGGTGTTAGATCCATTCATTCTGACACTTCTGAGCAACTCATGGTCCCCACAGGGGGAGCCTGACCCATGCACATCTATTTTCAGACCAGTCTCCTGACCGGGAGAAAGAGCTACCCACACATATCCGCACTGCGGATTCTCTCACACTTTCCAGGTGCAAACTTAAAGCTCACCTCTTTAGGCTGCAGATGTGATGGGTTCACAACAACTGGCTGGGAGATTTTACACTGCTGTGAACGTGCTTCTACTCGCGGAGAGTAAAGGAATATTTCTGCTCGTCTAATTAATTAGTGTTGCATGATCCTTCCTTCATTTGTTAAGTTGCTATGAGTAAGAACACCTGCTAAATGATAAAGTAAAATAATTCAGCGCGAGTGTGCACACACACGCACACACTAGGCTGCCTGCCAAAGCTTTCAGTAACACACTTCCCTGCAGTGAGCTTGTGTTCTGTTTTTTTTTTGCTCTCTGATCAAGAGGACAAGCTCAGTGGAACCAGCCAGAACCCACAATATTTTATGTCATATTGACTTAAGCTGCAGTACTTTTCTATTTTTCTGAAGCAGACTTGGCTTGAGTAAATCACGAACAGCTATGAGAAACTTATCGATTAGTTAGAGACAATCAGCATTAAATGGAACCAAAAACTTGACAAGCTTCCAACAAAGCAGGAAAACAATCAGGAATGGAGGCACAGAAGGAAAGAAAGGAGGCTAAAACAATGAAAAATAAGGAGAACAAGAAACTGTATTACACCATTTTTTCAACCTCAGCTAGGGCTATACAATGAATCATATCAAAATCGTGATCTGCTGCAGCACTTCTACCTGAAAAACCAGTGCATAAAACAGAGCATCCCCATCACCCATTCTCACAGTGACCTCTGACCAGAGACAGTATAAACATGCTGAGATATGTGTGCATTAGAGAGATCTTGCTGGTAAGGGTTCAGTTTCCTCAATTTCAGTGATACACAAAAGTTACTTCAGGGCTAATAACTCCACCTTGTGCAGGGTCATCAGCCTGCTAAACATGAGGGAGTGGGTCAAGGCCAACAGCAGTTTATAACAGCTTGTCTGTTTTGTTTATATGTTGTGTTATTTAAATCATACTTGATTTTATTTAGTAAGCAGTTAATTTATAATTCCGTTCTTATTTTTCTAATAATATTTCTAAAAAAAAATTCTAAAAAACACCAAAGATTAAACAGGCCTACAATGCAAAGATCTAAGACTACACAACTAATTTTAATGGCAATGAAAATGAGAAATAGTGTTTAAGTACGCTGTTCATTCCCTTCACTCTTCTGCACTCGGCAGCAAATCAACACTGAAAATGCCGACTGTGTGGAACTATTTCATGGTTTTTACAAGGGATATTGGGATAATGATGAAACATTTTACAAACAACAGAGCAAAAGTGTAAAGTATAACTAAAGAAATAATGGAATTCTTTGCTTTGGATGACCAACCATTCTTTGCTGTTGAGGACGCTGTATTTCATACGTACATACTGTAGCCTAAATATTGTAATAATTTTAGTATATTTAAAACTTTTTTATTTATTGTCAAAAATATTTGGTTTTCGTTTAAGTTTTTGCAGTTTTTGGCTCTGTGTGTCCTGAATTTTGGACTTGGCCAACACACACTTCATATACACAACATGTTGAAGAAAAAAGCATAATACATGGCCTGTCCAAAAGTTATGTTACATTTTACGTTGAGAAATTTCATATTTAGAGGATGTGTTAACTTATTTTTACTTAGAAAACCAACAAAAGGTCATTTGACTGGGGGTGTTCAGAACATTTGCATACGATTTTATGCATATTTGTTCTTTAAAACTGTTGCATCAAATAACTGCAAATGAGAATCTTGATCTCAATTCTCAGCCAAAAAATGTAATTTCTATTTAATCAAGAATCAAGCAGCCCAGACATCAACAACAGCTGGAGGAAGAAGAGAGAGAAACACAGAAGAAGGCGAAATTGGAGAAGCAGAAGCAAATCCACTAATGAAATTCTGCTGTGCTGTCTGGGTCATCTCTGTCCCTGGAAAGTGTTTGCAGCTGTATGCAAAGTAAAATCTGAGTGTCTCTGGGCAGTGAGAGGGTCTTATCACAGTTAGCACACACTCAGAGGCTGGAGAGGGCCTGAGAGGTGATCGATCTCTCTCGCTCTCTCTCCCTGACACCCTGCCTCAGGCAGCTGGAGAAGCAGCTTTGGGCCAGACAGCTTCCAGCAATTTATAGTTGGGCTGGGCAAGAAAGGTGTGTGTGTGAGAGTGTGCGAGTGTTTTTACAAAGGCTGAAAGGCTGGTGATGAAAAACGTATCTGGGGCGATGCTTTCCCTCTGACTCCACTCAGCCAGTGAGGGCAGCTGTGGCCTGTAGAGCGGCCTGACCATAAAACTACACACAGTGACATCAGTCACATAAATACTCCCTGTGAAGTGTTATGAATTACACTGAAAGGAAAGAGGAAAGAAGAATTTATTGTTTTTCTGCTCTCTGTGTGTTTCTGTGTGCACCTGCACAACCGCGAGTACAATTCCTCTCAGCTCGATATACAGCAGTACATATCTGTTTGAGTCTCACACTGTGTAGGGAGGGCTGGTGTTAACAAGAGATATCAAACGGCCAAGCTTGCTGGCACAACTGTTCCCTTGCTGCTCCTTGTTGAAACTGTAACTGCTGGCTTTTTTTGCTTTATCCATTCAACATAGTTCTCTCTGGAGGATGGCCCAAGCTGATATCAAACAAACTTTACTTTCTCTAATACAACCCCCCTTACCATATAATACATGCATAAAACTAAACGTTCCAAAGAGGGTTCTCTGGATCATTGCCATAGAAGAACTACATTTGGCTCCCTAAATAACCTTTCAGCAGATTGTTCTTTAAAGAGCCATGTTTGTAAATGAGATGTGCGAGAGAGAAGAACCTTCATAAAGTTTAAAGAACGTCCATGTAAGTGTTAATGCTTAATACGAGTCTCTAAACATCCCTTCCTCAGTCAAGCACAGAAAAAACTTCAACAGAACTCCTCAAAACAAACCTGCAGTGAGAACGTAGTAAATTAGTCTAAGAAATGGGGAAAAGGTGTTAAAGAGGAATATTTAATTCAAACCTATGCTATCCTGATCATCTGGAAGGGGGTTCACAGCTCAGTGGTAAAACAACACATTCTAAGGTAAGAAACTTATAATAAGAAAATGTCTAACAGTACATAATACTAAAGAAAATGCTAAGATCAGTAGAAATCAGCAGTGAGCTGCATTGATATCAATACTGGCACGATACCATGCTCATTTACTCGTACTCAGCCTCATAAAAAGGCACTGATACCAACATTTGATACCACCTGATACAATGTGACGTGTTACATGTGACTTGTGACTGATACCTGGTGTATGCTGGTACACTAATGAACAAACAACTCAAGCTGGCAGTGAACAAGGGTCTGCTCGAAGGGTTGCTGAAGCTGTGGCAGTCATTGGTCACTTTAAACATTTCGCCTTGGCACATTCCCACTAGGCATATACGGCTTGATTTAAGCCCAGTTTTAAACACACACAATCACAGCTATTTCCCCAAAATGGGTGGAAAAACAGGCTATTTGCAGTACTAAAGTCCGTATATGCCATCTTTACTCTGTCTGAATAGCACTGCAAGGTATAAATGTCAAAGTATTGATTTTTTAAAATTGTCATTGTAAAACAGGTGGTAGACAGACCGTATTGTCCTACCCACACACATCACCGCCTGGTTTTAGTTTCAGTGCATGGTGTGCAACTTAGCAAAGCTGCTGTAGCTCGGTTTCTCAGCGTGTTTGCTTGCTGTCTGCAAAAGCTGTGTTTCAGGTAGCATGTCAATCGGACTAAGTATTTTCATACAGTGTGACCATGTAAATTGTCCACACATTGGTCTATTCAAACATACTCTGTGAGTCACCAGAGAACAAGATGCTAAAATCACACAGTGTATGCCTGCCTTTAGAGGGCCTTCAACAACAGCTCAAACAAAAGACTCACACAAACAGCTCCTCAGATGCTTTAGCATCAGAAGTGATTCCTGCTGTCACTGTGCTACAAGAGACTATTGTTGAAAAAGAGAGATGAGGACCAAAACTATGAACCACACTTTACTTACAGCTGTACTGAAGCACTTTTCTGACATGGAACAAAATCCACTCTTCTCCACTGCAACACTACTCGATCCAAGGTAACTAATATAGCATGGCTAGCTAATGCATGCCATTTAAAGTCAGCTAGATTCGAACGATTTAACTGTTAATGTACATTGCACTCATTTACACTAACAACTACTTAATTCCAAATGAGTTACTCGGTATGGTATTGATATCAGTATGGGCAAGTACTAAAACATGTACTCTTACCTGAAAAAATGGCATTGTTGCAACCCTAGTCAGCAGTTAGCTTTTTGATTTTGATGCTGATAGTTTGCTTGATAAATCGGTCAGATTAAACAGGACTATAAAAAGGCTAAAAGGCTAATGTGATTTCCAAAGATATATAGTGTTACAGAAAGATGTTAAGTTCAGTTAGCTAACTAGTTAGCTTTTTTTTAACTTAGCTGCTAACAGTTAGCTTGATAAATCAGTCACAAGTGGACTGTAAAAAGGCTGAAGGGCTGAAAATGTATTTGGGGTGACAATACCCCTCTGTCCCTCCCTTTCTGGATTTGCTAAAAATCATTTTAATATGATGTTTAATGGTACATAAAGATGATGAGTCCTGTTTGGTATCTAACATTGCTCTGACTAGCTCCAGTGTTAGCTTTAGCATTAGCTCATCTAAATGAGTAGCACCGCTAAAACCTCCTGCTTATTACATGCGAAAACCTACTGCTTTAGCATGGCTTCGAGCAATTTCCCTGCTTTGATTTTTCTGGTGTTTTTCCCAATTTACTCCCCAATTTATTCAAGTCCATTTCCACCCAACTGCTAGGTCTCCTCATCACACAATACTAGCACAAGCTTCCTCAGAGTCACGTAAAGCCAGCCGCAACATCTTTTCAAACTGCCTTTAACAGAACATCATTGGACAGCTAAACACGCCCGGAGAAGAACGCTAACTGCCAGTTCTGTTACGTCAGCTAACAGACACCTGCACTGGCCAGCTTTACGCTGAGTGATGGTGGAGACCGAGGGCCATCCTACCCACCCAGACAGAGTCAGCCCATTTGTGATTCCTGTGATACCAAGGATTGAACTCGCTCCCTTGTTTGATTGATCGTGGCATCTAGAATCCTTTTTTTGTTATCTTTAAACTGGCCTACATTCATAATTTGTCAGTTCTCAAACATGAATGTACATCTTGTAAAGGCAGTTTATTTTTGAATGAAACAAATCTGTGCTTCTAAAAGTTCAACTGGACTTTTTAGTCTTTCAGTACAAGAGTTGGTACCACATAGCTGGAGCTGAAAGTTTGACGGACAGAGCAACAATACCCATTATGCAAATTAAATGTTTTTCCCAGAAAATGAGGTCCAAGCCAAGAGTGTAGGAACCTTTATTTTTAAGAGTACAGGTGTAGATGTGTGCTTTAAAAGAGCACGCCTGAGTCGATTAGCCTTGATTTGCGAGTGCTATCAGGGTGAATTGAGGGAGCAAGCATGCAGCTGCTGAAGAGACATTTCACCACAGAGGATCAGAGCAGGGTGAACAGCACACAAATGCACAGATGTTGTTTACCTCCACTGCAACACTCCATCTAAAGGAGTGATTAAAAACGGCCTCAGCCATATTGCACTATCCACTGGGATGTGTGTAAAGTATTTAATGTCTCCTACGGAGGAAGGCCCTGCGTTGACATGGACCTATGCATACTGTACTGAACATACATCATATTAGCGCAGGATTTATGACAAGCAGGGAAAATAGCATCTTTAAGAGGAAAAACATCATCCTCTTAAAAAGGAATTATAGCATCATCTGTCTACTTTATCTGGCAGTGATTTCCCCACCAAAAAAAACATTCATGATGAAAATATGAGCATACATCACTGGTATGTCTTGTGTAAGTCTTCTGTTTAGACTTTGCAAAGCTCAGCAGGGTTCCCTCTAATGCATTCCTTTTAATGTGTTTAATTAGAAAGGCTGTCAAAGCATTAATTTGAGCATGTGCATATACACAACAAAATCAAACTAAGCTATTAGATAGTCTTGCTGCCTTAAGAGGCACACATGATGAATTTTGAATCACCACTGAACAAATGGATACAAAACACTGTTTATGAGTAAATCTGTACATATGTGATAAGAATTTACAACTAAATTCTTATCATAGCTATTTTTATGCTCAACACTGTGTATGGCCATAGGATGAGGTAATGCAAGTATATGTACAGTACCGTGCAAAAGTCTAAGGCCACATTTCATTTATTTCATTTCCAGTCAAAACAGCCATTAAGTACGAGTTATTAATCTTTCAGGAGATAATTCTGGGGAGATCAGATTTAAGATCAATTTTAAAATTATTAAAAGATATAGAGAAAATGGGTTTTTAAATGTGGCACTAGTGGATCTGTTATTTTCTATTCCAACTTACTGTGATACATTGTGTATCACAAAAATGTCTTCAAGTATTGTGATTTTTGCTCTGATACCCACCCCTAATTGCAAGTGGTATGGATGCTAACAGGTGCCTTGGTTTGAAAGTTCGACGGACAGTACAACAATAACTAAGGGAGGTGGGATCGCTCTGAATTTTGCAAACGGTCAGTTAAAGGATGTGTAGCTGGCAAGAAGCTGTTACTGAGAAAAGGAAAACTGAGGATTTTTGCAAGGCAAAGACGCTGCTGGTGTTCTCAGAACAATGAACTGGCTAGCCCAGAGCCCAGACCTCAACATCACTGAATGTGTTTGGGATCACGTGACGCAAACCAACTTCTAAAGTACTATTCAGACGTGATTGGTTTTCCACAGGTATGTGGAGTAACATCCCTTTACCTTGGGACATCTGTAATGTTCATGACCAATTCACACAGGATAAAAAATCTCAGAGATGGGAGTGGCTACTCTATTTACAGACCGCCTTTACTCTCAAAATAGGTAGAAACAGCTGTTATTCCGTTTACCCTAACCATCTGTCTTGTCTTAGTGAATGCACTGTGTCATTTACATTGTCATTAGCTTGGAAATTCACAGCCAACAGTCAACATTACGTCATAGAATCAAGCTTTTTTCTGCAAGTTTTACATGTTTTAATGTTCTGACTTGTTGGCTTGAGGTAGGACAGTAGACATCAACTTTGAGCCACAGATAACACAAAAAAATGCCTCTTCGAGTCCTTTCATTCTTACAAAACTCCTTTTCCACAAACAATGACAGCGATTTTACTGACATGTCGATTCACATTGGATTAATATAACCTGGGGTTATGTCTAGTGCTCGTCTTAAAGGAGGTAAAAGACTTTACCCACGCAAGAGCATGCAGTGCATAAAAATTATTGACATGGTACATTCTGATGAGATTAAAATCACCAAGAAACAGAGGTAACAAGTACATTACCCCACCCCCAATGTAAAAATAAACCTGTGCGTATAGGGCATAATAGTGAACTTTGGAGGTCTGGAAATACAGACATAACAGTACATTGTATTGTTTATTTCATTTTATTCTATTAGTGTTTTGAACAAATAAATGTGTACTGCCCAGCTTAACAGCTTTACATATTTTCTCAGACAGCCCAAGCCTTTGTACAGTACTGTATATACTCTGTGTATCAGGTGCAGTGGTACTTCTGGTCCTGGAGTATCACTGCCCTGCGTGTTGTAGTGTTTTCTCTGCTCTACACACCCAGCTCACCTCAGGAAAGGCTTGTTTATTAGTTCATTAATTGCATCAGGTGTTCTGGGAGCAGGGGTAATCTAAAATGTGCAGGGCAGTGGTTCTCCAGGACCAAGACTGAGAACTACTGATTTAGAGTGTTACTTTTGAGCTGACACTTTTGATTTCATAATAAAAGAATCGTGTTCACTTTATTCTTCTGTTCTCTTATGCTTCTGGACATGGTGTTTTTTTGGCATTTCCCACTGAAATACTCACCAGCCTAAAGGTCAACACTTTATAGGTAACTGGGTCTTCTACAATCTTCTGAAGGTTAGCAGCAACTGAAAGACATGTGTGTAAAAATGTATTGTCATACACGCAAAGCAATCCTAAAGGGGCACAGGCTTACTTGACATGAATTAGACAGTATGCTGGAAATAAAGTAATTTTGAAATTCACTTGAAGTCACAGTGTGACATTACCAACTACAACATCATGGCCATTGACCAGACCAGCAGAAAATAGCTCCTGAGAAACACCATCAGCAGTATCTATAAAGAGAGTACACAAACAAACCCCATGGGATGACAGGAAAAGGGCAAATAAATTCATAGATATCCCTCGAATACACACATACAGCGCCCCCCAGAAATATTGACACTCTTGGAAAAGCTGGCTTTGAATAAATGTATTTACTATTTATATATAAATATACACACATTCTATATACCTTCACTTGTTCTGCAAATGTCAGTGTTAGGTCATGTGGCTTTTTAACCTGTGTACTAAATACAAACTGCACACAATAGCAAGATGGCTTATCATGCCTTATCATGTGCAGTGTCCATAGGGGTGCTAGCCATCTACTGCTAATATAATGTATTCAGAACAGCTCTCACCTTGTCCTGGAGTGAATTCAAACCGTATGTCATTCAGCTCCTTCCTCGAGTTCCTGAGAGATGAGAAGAGAGAGAGAGAGACGGAGAGAGGGGAAGGGAGGGAGAGAAAGATGAGGCCACCTGTCTCTCCAAGAGTCAGCCAAGAAAGATCACAACCACAACCCAACTGAGCTGTTTCAATTGGGAATATCTGATATGCATGCAACACACACACCACATACACATGCAAACATACACAGCAAACATAGCAAACAAAGTTTTATATACAAAACACAAAACTCAGAAAATTAAAATGTTGGTGTATAGAATAAAAAATACTAATATATGAAATGTGCAGTATAAGCTCACTAGTTTCCTACACAATCTGGGGTTTAAAATTGGCCAGAGTACAATCTTAGTACTTTTCTTATGTACATCCACTTTAGTGTGACCTTTTATTTGATATAATTATGATGCAAAAGTGACAAACAATGAATGCTAAAATAGCGAAGTAAAAGGAAAGAAACAGAGTCACATTTTCATGAAATCAGTACTGAGAATGAAACAAACTGAATATGGTTCTCACATTGCAGACACCCTAGAAAAAATAGGGCTCCCCCACCTCTGAAATCCCACGTTAACCCCTGTATGCTATATATGGCACAGGCTAGTGTAGTAAACCTATGTTTATGTTAATAGGGGTGGGAATCTCTAGGTACCTCATGATTTAATTTCAATTTAGGGTGTCATAATGAGATTACAAAATTAATCTGAATTTTTTATTTCAATAGCCTACATGAGGATTTTCTCCCTGTATTTTTCATTGCCAAGTACTGTAAGCTTTATTGAGTTTGTATGTAGTTGTATGTACACTATGCACTTCTTAAAAGAGACTTACACCCCTTTTTTCATTTTTGCATAATTCAGTTACTGAGATGTAAAAAAAAAAAAAAAGTCATCTGCTAGAGTGCATAATATGATTAAAGGATTCAGGGAATGCAGAGAAATCTTTGTGCGCCGAGGACAAGGCTGAAAACCACAACTGAATGACTCAATTTTACGTACTGTTTACCTACTTTTTATCCAAATAACATCACACTGCTATTGCTAACTTATGTTAGCACTTTAATGATGCTTTCAGTATAAGTACTGATGCTTTCAGTATTGTAATCATTACAGTATGATTACAATGTTTTGTGAACTGATTCAGAACCATCCAATAGAGAATCGTAATGTATCTACGAATTGATTATTTTTCCCATCCATTACGTTAGTGTAACAGTAAGCAATGAATGCCTAAACGTGCACAACGAAAACTTTTTTTATTATGCTCACTAAAACATATTTCAATTCAGATAGAAAAATATATTAGATACATGATTCCTAATAATAATTTGAGTGATACTATTAGTGCTTTTTAAAAGGCTCACCAGCTTTACATTGGTTTTATTAATAATGAAGTATTCAGTTAAATTTTCCATTTCAGCTTACTTAATCATAATTTATTACTTTGTTCTTTCTTCATATGTGCAACTTTAGCAAAGGCAAAGTTGCATCAGTCTTATCGTGCTCTAAATCAGTCAGGTCTGCTCCATAACCCCCGTTCATCAGCTCTTACTTTATCACTCTGACAGCACTATGCCAAGACAGTATGGAGAAAGGATAGTTATTGTCGTTCTTCCTACAAGGAGGAACAAATCTAAGTAGCTAGGTGTGAAGAGCACTAGTGGGAGCGAGTTTGGATGCACGCCCAGCCATTTGGTTTGGAGTCTGACTCTGCGTTAATTAGATTTGACACAATAAAGGAAGGCAGCCTCGCAGCGTTAAAGCAGAGCAAGACCAATCACTACACCAATCACTTCCTTATACACTCTAAAACTGCATGCTTTAAATCCCTCGGTGTTATCAATGCCTGAGGCTAAACAATGAGTAGCTGGTTTAACAATCATCACTAAATAACGCACAACACAAACTGTAATCAGTCAGACACTGCTGGTTATTTATGACATATTACATATTGCTTGGTATGATGTGCATTTTGGCACACTGGTTTACCCTTAGTCTTTTTTCAGATTAAAGCTTCTTGCATTTGAATTGCTCGCAACTCTTATTTGTTGAGAGGATGAGCACAGTTCCTTCCCACTGACCATGCCTAATGGGAATCCACCAATAAAGAATTTCTGGGCAGATAACAACAATGGACAATTGGAACACTGTTGTGGGAGTGGAAGACAGGTCAAAACTCTAAAGATGAATCATTCATTAGCCTTACATAGCCATGACAGCTAAATAAGACATGGCAACTGATGTAAACATTTACATTAAGGGGAAACTCCACCGATTTTTCAAAATGTCTGTATAATTAAATCATTCAGATGGTTTGATGTGAAATTCTCCATTCTAGAGAAACTTACAAAGTCAGAATTGTTTACAATGTTGGTGAGAGGAACCAGACATCCAACAGACAACACAAAAAACTATTACATGAAATGGTAATGAATAAACTGCCTGATGCCCAAGACACTGTTTTAAGTATTATTAAAATTCATTCATGGCGGAACTGGTACAAGCAGGGCGGTCGCAAAAGATCTCCAAAGAAAGCTTTAAAAAGTTTAAAAGATTTAGCACAATTTTATCATTAACAGCATTACATATTAAATCTAGAAGATGTGTAGGTTCACTGGTCATTGTGGATGATAAATAAAATGGCTAAATCTGTGTTTTAGACATTACAACCGCTGGTTCCTACCACCAGAGACCCACTTTGGTCAGCAATCCTTGATCTAAAAAGCGTAACGGGGTGAATGGGTGTAAACAGAGGAAATACAGTGTTGAAACTGCTGCAGTATATCAGACTGATTATCTATAATTCAACATGTTTTCTATCAAACATTTCTGACAAGACATGATGTGTCTAATACAAAAATAAAGTTCTGAAACAAGTAACAGTAGACAGCAGATTGTGACAGTTAGGGTTCATTTATGGCACTGCGACAGTCTTGGAAAACTAATTTTCTTACATCGAGAAGCAGAGACAGTACAACCAACAGAAGTTAAATACTAAGCAGAATTTAACCCAGAGGCTGTAACCCAGAAAAAGATCTCTAACAATGGCTCTAAAGGCTATTAAGGTTAGCTACAGCAGCAGTAACACTCTGCTGTAGTGCAAGTATATGCAGAAGTAAATGGCTGTAGTTTGTAACCATCAGTATTTCAGTGTATTCTAATAGCATTAATACACAAAGATTTTGTCAAAAGTAAATATTGTAAACTACTTTTGTCAATGGCTCAGTGCTGTGCTCAAGACCTGCTTTGCCACTGCTGAAGAGAACTGGTAACACTTGGAAGAGCAATTTCAAATGTTCTTATTCAGAACCACTTAAAATAAATGACTGTAAAATTAGGAGTCTTGTCTCAGGACTATTTGTGACATTCTTCTCTCAATAAAAAACTGAATCTCCAATCTTTCATGTGCAGGCTGGAGGGGTTATCCACCATACTATCTTTTTGACTGCATTGAGAAGAATGGGAATGCCTTGCATTAGTGAATATATGTGCACTAAAGACTATATGTGCACTAAAGAGTTATTAACTGTTAACTTTAATTCTAACGTAATTATATTATCAGGCCAATAATACTTACATTTTTCCCATTTATCTGTAAATAATATAGTCAATACGGCATTCTATAAATGTGGGCACCCTTCACATTAAGGAAGGGCTCCAATATATTTATGGATGCAAAATTTAGTCTGCATCTGTTTTTTGCCAATATTAGTTTAATTATGACATTAATGACCTAAAAATTTAGATCTAGACTACACAGCAAACTTTTCAGTCAAAGCCCCCTCTACCTAGAACATCAGGTATTCAATTCTACTATTCCCTTTGCGAGGACACCCCTGAGAATACTGTCCACTGATATATTGTGCACTGCTATTTCCAAACCCTATGAAGTATGAACACACCTCTTCAGTGGAGCATGGCAGAGGACTGGCACTTGCTGATTCGCGTTTATGATGAGTTGCTCTCCTGTAACCGTGCACAGTACTGAGACAGACCCTCGCTTTGTTCTGCCTCAACATCAGACGGGCTTTTGCCACTGCAAGCTATGGAGGACTCGTGGCCCTGTAAACCTCCCGCAACTTGGAGGGACTCTGATAATATGCACAGCCTCACCTTGCCCTTTGCCATGAAGACAATGAAAGGACCAGAGTTGGCACTGCTGCTGAAAACAAGCCTTCCCCTCACGCTCTGCTCGGGGGACGTTTCAAAGAGGAAAGGTGACATGGCTGCGAAGCTGCGTCACAGCATGGAGGACTTTGAATACTAGCTGCGGCAATTCTGGCAGCTCTATGGAGGCCATTTTTCAGTGCAAGACAATGGAATTGCATTCACAAAGGCCTTTTGATTTTCTCCTGCCTATCATGGTGTTTAACAGGTAGCTGGAGGGAAGTAATTAAGCCAGTAGGAAGCTTTAATATAAATTATATCTAAAACCACTTTACTGTCCTCAAACTGAAAGCTACAAACGGAACTCTTCACTCTGGCTGTAGGTAACCTCAAACACTGACTTTACTGTTAAAAAAGGAGCTGTGTTTACCAAGATATGGCACACGTCCAAACTCAACAGCTTTCAGCATGGTTCTTTTAGGGTACCTGGGTACCTGAACAGTCTGACCTAATCTATAAATAAACATCTTGCAACAACGTGCTAAAAATATGCTCAACAGTTTCCAATTAAATGTGATGAGTGTGACACAGTATAAATACAAACAGCAATAGTTTACATGAAATGTAGACTCACAGCTCTGCAAATCTACAAGTCACTGTTCTACTCAAAACCATAAAAATCCTTAGAGAGCTATACTATACCGTTACTGTCACTGAGAGAAGCCTCTCAGAATAAGAGCACTGATCCAAGATCAGGTCTCATTCGGTCATGGAATTTTATTCAAGGTTAGATAAACAGCATAGGCCGATCCTAGATCAGCATTATTACTCTGAGAAGCTTGATAAAAAAAGGGGCAATATAATTTTCTCAGGGGAAAAGTACATATTTGTAGCTTTTCAT